ATATATATATATATATATATATATGAACGAGTGGTTAATATATATATATATATATCACTTAATTTTTAAACACTCTTTTTCTCTCATTTTTTAAAATTTAATTTGTATTTTTTTCTCTATTATCACACTCTCTAAACAATTGTCGAAAATAGCTCAAACTTTCTAATTATATATTAACCACTCGTTCATATATATATATATATATATATATATATATATATAATTTCAATTATTTTATCATTTATTTTATATTTATTTTTAAAAAATATACAAAACATGAAATTCCGGTTTTACACTAATAATATAATATGATAATTGTTTTGCCAGAAAAAATTTGAACCAAACAAATGAAATTCACAAAAATGAAAAAAGATACATTTTTCCCGTCAGATAAATAAAATGAATATAATTTCACTTCCCAACAATTATAACACATTAAAAGTTAGATATTCTATTATGAAGATATTGTTGTGGTGCTTGATCCTATAAACTTAATTGTTGAAAAATCCTTATTGAGAAGTTGACTTTTGAAGTGGATTGTGAGTCTCCTCTAGGACCATAGTTAACGCTGCATGAGGGTCATGTCGAGTCATACCGTTTATGAAAGAGACTAAGTATAAGGGTTAAGTCAAACTATATACTGATTATAAAGTGATCAATAATGATTTGTATTGTGACACCCTCTACCCGAATATACATATATAATAATTATAAAAACATCTTCTTGGGTTAAATAAAATCTTTAGAATCTAAACAATGGTTCCATTAACATAAGAGTAGAGAATTCACACTCGTAAACTTGAATTATGGTTAAATGCATAATTTATAAGAAAATGAAACATGATATATACTAAATAACTTAGTATTTTCCATGGTGTTACAAAACTCAAAAAAATTTGATTAAGAGTTGGAATGGTATACACAAAATTTTAAGATTAAGTTATAGTATTGTTATTATAATTCTAATTGATTTAATCATTTTGCTGGAATTTTTGAATGTGTAACAAGGATTGAACATTACACAATATTATAGTGTGAATTTACAACTTTCCAATATAAAAATAATTTTGTAATAACTTTTTTACAAAATTTATACATAAATACAACTTCCAATATCTAAACTATTAATAAAGGTGTAACATTTTTTTATATATACATTTTGTTGACTATTTTATCTTTTAACTTTCAAAATACTCTTTCTCTTTCATATTTTTTATTTAATTTTTATTCTTTTTTTTCTCAACTTTTCTATAAATTTATTTTTTAAATTTCTCACGTCATTTAAATAATTACTCAAAATTTCTCACACCACTAATTATTTTTTTTAAGGGTCACACCACTAATTATTAAACACTCACAAATAATATATAATTTTAATTATTTTTTATTTTTAAAAAGGAGGCACGTGTACTTTTATTACACAAGTGAAAACAAAAGCAACGGTTTAAAAAAAAAAAAAAAAGTAGCTACATTATTTGTTGTCTTTCTAAGATTAGGTTGGGGATGCTTATGATCATATTAGTTAAATAATTTAATCGTAATCGTTTATGAATATAGTTATTATATTCATATCATAACCGGTTTTATTACATCGGTTTTGATTTGATAGAATCAGTGATATTTTTTAAAATAATTGATTATATTTCCAAAATTGGTTACAATTAAAAGGTTATAACTAATTGGTTATACAATCAGTTATAGTTAAAACGGTTTCAAAAACTAAAAAAAAAATAAAAGTAATTTTATATTTTGTTTTGCTTATGAAGATGGTTTACTAATCTCACAA